TCCAAGGATTTGCAGTGTTAGCTCCGTTATATGCTAAATTCATATCTATTCCTAAAGTCTGTTCCTGGGAATTTTTTCTTCTCTTCCTTTGACTTGTCTCCATCTTTTCCTGTATTAGTATATTCTGTTTTTAATTACTGCAGCTTTATAATACAATTTAATAACTGGTACCAAACAATCCTCTTCATTCTTCTTTTTCAAAAATTTTGGAGGTCTCTCACACAGTTATGCTTCCAGGTGAGGTTTAGACTAATTTCCCAGCATTAAAAAGATTATGGTTGGGATTTTTTTCTCTTGGTATTATGTTAAATTTGTAGACAAACTTGGGTAGCATTGACATTTTTACTTTGAGGGTTCATATCTAGGAAAGAGCTGGTTTTTTCCATTTATTCAGATTTTCTTATGTCTCTCTGCAAAGTTTTATAGTTTTCTTCCCAGAGATCTTTCCCAAAGTCTTTTTTTTTTTTTTTTTTTGCGGTACGCCGGTCTCTCACTGTTGTGGCCTCTCCCGTTGCGGAGCACAGGCTCCGGACGCGCAGGCTCAGCGGCCATGGCTCACGGGCCCAGCCGCTCCGCGGCACGTGGGATCCTCCCGGACCGGGGCACAAACCCGTGTCCCCTGCATCGGCAGGCGGACTCTCAACCACTGCGCCACCAGGGAAGCCCCCCAAACTCTTTTAAGTTTGTTCTTAGACATGCTCTCCTTTCTTCTTGCTATTGTACGTGAGATATTTTAGGTTCTCTGGGTATGGATAACACATCCAGAGATGTGCTTGGATTTCCAAGGTCAATACATATTTGCCCCAATTTTTATTTTCTTTTGGCCATCACAGTAGAGAGATGTAGGCAGAGATCTCGGTGTGCTTCAGATGCTTCCCTCCCAACCTTGGAGTCCCTTCTAGCCCTGCCTCTACACGATGGGGGTGGCTCCAAAGGAGTCTTTCCTTTAGCCTGGGTTAGCATTATAAAGTCCTTGCTGATTTTTAAACGTAAAAAAATAATACCTTTAGCATAAGCAAGATCTTTATTTCCATAGAAAATGGGTTAGATTTTCCATTAAATCTTTTAATGACAAAAGATGTCAGTTTTCTTTAAGGGAGAGTTTAGTGAATTTGGATTTTACCAGATAGCCTCTATTTACCCTGTGAGATACTCTTGAGTTCCCTATTGATTTTGAAAGGAATATGATAGGGTTATAATTATCTGTGTTTGCTCCCAGCAATTATCCTTCCTCAAAGGAAGCTAGAGTTGAAAGAATGACTGCTGCCACATACAGAGCACTTCATGTCAGACCCTGGTCAGGGGCTTCCATACCCTATCTCAGTTAATACTGAATGACAGCCCTGGCATGGAGGCATTGTCATCGTCCCTCTACTGCCAAGGAAACGGATGCTACATGGAGTTAAGTAATTTGCTCAAGGCTACACAGGAAATAAGTGGCAAGGCCAGGACCCCAAACCTTTACCCTTAATCACTACACTAATATTTTGTTGTATAGTGACTGACAGATTCAGAATGTAAAAATAATTAAAAACAAAAATAAATAAAATTTGAGATACTAAAAAGAAAAAACAATAAAAAGCTTACTGAAGAGAAGCTCTAGTTTGTATCTAGTTTAATTATCATAGGCCGCACTTGATTCTGAGCATCACTGACTGTAGCTCAAAGATTGGTTTCTGTGTGCTACCAGAGACCAAAGGTATATCAGCGCATTCAGAGTAAGGAGAGTGATATTTCTGAAGAATCAGCAGGTGAGGTTTGTCAAAGTCCATTGGATCAGCGTGAAGAGACGAGGCAGTTGGGGCAGGAGGGAGCCAGGACTTGACTACCCTTCTCTGATGCCAGTGGGGAGCTGGGAGGCAGCTCTTGACAACAGGGGGAGCTCTGTCTGAATATGTGATGAGAGGGGCTCCAAGTAGGGGTCAGATGCGGGTACCAGGTGGCTTCCTGTTGAGGAAGTGTAGCAAAACCCCCTGCTAGTTCCTGAAAGAGGGGTTAGGCCTGGTTCACAGTGGGACAGCAGGCTCCTTCTAGAAGGCCAGAGCCCTGGGCATGGGCGTGGTTGGGACTGAGGACAGAGAGCTGAGACAGGAGCTTGTTCTACTTGTTTGGGACCTGGGCACTCCATGGGTGCTCACGGCTGGCTGAAGGATTCCGGATCCCGGCGTGGGGTGGAGGGGGGCGGGGTGTGTCTCAGGCTTGAGGCCCCTCAGTGGGAGCTGCTACAGAGGGGTCTGTTTGCTTTTTTGTCTGGTTCAGGAATTGAATTTCACTATCATATCATGGAACTGAGCCTGCTTCACATACCTCATCCCTCCCCTGGGGGTGGCCCAGGCACCAGCCCGGGGATGTGTCTGCAGGTAGGCGGCAGGCGGGCAGGGCAGGCATCAGGCTGGAGCGGTGAGGCAGGCACTGCCAAAGATACAAGTTGGCTTTGAATCTCTACAAGAATCCAGAAAGCACTGTGCTCCTATTTCCATAAAACTGGGTCCGAAAACACTGAATGAACATGTTTTAGCCTAAACTTGAAGTAGTCAAATGGCTTATTTCAAGTTTCACAACTGGGAGTGTTCTTTGGAAACCCACATTTGGGTAGTGAAAATTGTACTTTCTGGGCTAGACTCCCTGAGTAACTAGGAATGACGACGCATGGAAAGATGACTTTATTATTTTTATCAGTAGACAAACTTCCTTAAAAATTTACATACTCATATCTGTAGATAAACCCACATCATAAAAGGACTAATATGACACTGTTCTGAATCATGTAGTCTTTGCAATGAGCAGGCTGAAAAATGTCTAAATCTAATTTTAATTTTCGAACTTTTTTTAAAACTTGACAGTCTGTAAACTTTGTAGTGAGAATAACTATATGTGACTAATCATACATTCTCATGGTGTTTCTAATAACATGATCTATTTTCATGGCTCTTTGTGAAGCATATTATCCAAGGTGAACAAGTACCTTTTATACACAAATTCTGTTTTTGTTTTTTTCTCCTCATGTAGTAGTTGGAGGAGCAAACCTCTAATGTGACTCTTTGCTGGTGGCCATTCCATGTGGGCAGGTTTTCAGAGCAAGCGGAAGTCTTGTGAAATAGTAAGGCTCTTGTACCGCTACCTCTTCCTAGCTCAGGAGTGAATGCTGGACTTCTCTAGCTTGCCAGGGCTTAGGGGACCTTGGAGAGTCTAGGACAACCTCAAGAGCCAGAAGAGGAAGGAGGCTCAGAAGCAGGTGAGGTGAGAGCTCAGAACCACTTGTTGGATCTGCCTTGGGGGAACCTCCTGAAGTCTTGATGTGAAGGGTGTGAATTGACTGCCTTGGTCAATATCAGGCATACTGGACTGTATTTGAGCTTTCTGAAGCAGTTTTCTTCTTTCGATCCCAACCTTTGTTAATACGGTGAAATTTTTAAGAGGGAAAAAGGGGCAAACTGAGCTTTCCAGTTGTCTTCCAGTTCAGCTGGAGGATAGCCTCTCAGGCTCCCAGGACCTCTTCTTCACGTTGCCGTGGGGACGGGCAGTGGACATGTACCTAAAACCCCAGGACCCTGAGCACTACTGAAGGCGCAGAGACATAGCAGAGATGGACTCTGCCCCGAGAAGCTTGAAGTCTAGTGGAATAGACAACACCAACCACGCGGCAAGCGTGCATTAAGCCGATGGGAGGGGAAGGCACCAAGGCAACCCAGCAATGGTTAAGTTGCGGCCCCATCTTTCTAAGGAGCTGGCAATGAATGGTTAAGTCACAAATACCAAAAAAGGCAGGCAGAACAGTGAATTTCCCAATGAATAGGATAAACTAATACGTACTCAGAAAATGGAGGAAGCACTGTGGACTGGAATGGCCTGTGAAGACTTGAAGGAGGTGGTGGGCTGAAGCAAAAACTCTGAATCTTGGCTGTTTCTCACATTCACGGAATCTGCTAGCCTCTAGGATAAAGCCTAAACCAAGGTTTCAGTGAAGTATTAATTTCCAAAATTTTAGGGACTCTTGTGCTTCTGCCACATTCTGCCACACTGCAAGACCTGTTGGTGGTTCTCTCCAGCTGTCAGCATGCTTGTTAGTATAGCAATACCACTGATGGGCATTTTCCTTGTTTCTAAAAAATGCATCTAACTTTTTGAATGGTTGAAGGACGAAAAAGTGTAACAAATTATTCAGTAAAAACTCCCCCCCTTTCCTTGTCCCTGTTTGACTAGCCCCTGACTCCTTTCTGCCCAGCCACTGTTACTAGTTTCTTATGTATCATTCCAAGCTTTCTTTATGTTATACAAGAAAACATGCCTTTAGATAGTTATTTTTCCTCCACTTTTACCCAAAGATGTAGCATGTTATATGCACAGTTTGGCATCTGGCTTTTCTTTACTTAACAGCATATCTGAACGTTCTTTCCTCATTGTACATAGAGTACATTTTCATCCTCTTTCATAGCTGCAGAGCACTCCACTGTATGGATATACCATACTTGATTTGATCAGTTCCCTATTGATGATGAGTTGGGTTGTTTTAATCTTTGCTATTACAAATAAAGTTGTAATGAATAACCATATACATTTGTCATTCACATGGGTAAATATTATATACAGCAAGATATAGTTGTAGTGATTTAGTGGTCCTGGAAGGGGAAAGAACAGTATGGGTTCAAAGGATTCTCTCACTGGCATGTCATTACTTTCTGAACTTGGATGTTCTGTAGGTCACATCATAACCCAGAAACCTGGAGATAACCTGATTCATGTGCTTAATAATAGTAGATATGAGTTTCTACCCCTTCATACATATTATAGACTTAACTTTAGAAAACCATGGATTTTGCTTTTCCTTGGTTTTTACCAGAGTTGTATAATTTCAAAAGATGTCCACTTGGCTGGAAGTCACTGGTGGCATTTGCCATCACTGGGCTGGGCGACTTCATATTCTGTTTGAGCTTGTTCTCCCGGGTGACTTCCGGCTGGCTTTGAAAGTCTCCAATGCTACTATGATCTTGTTTTTGTAGACGGGCCCACCTTCGCTTATGCCTGGAAAAGTTGAAGGGGCTGGTGCCGCTTGGTCCAGAATCAAATCGACACACTACACTGAGTTTATTAACAAAAGCCAAATTGCACATAAAGGTAAGTGCATCCTGGGATGCCTTTTTGTCTTTACCTGCCCAGGGAGGGTTTGTTTGTTGTTATGAGGGACAGCAGATGTCTGTCTCCAGGACAGTTCTCTCCTCTGAACTCCTCCAACTCCAACCAAGTCAATGTCTTGGATGACTCACAGACTCAACATGTCCAGAACCCAACTGAGTAGTTCTCACCCCTGTGCGCCAGAAGTTAAATTGTCCATCCAACTGTCCATCTCATGTACAGGCCAGAAACTCAGGGTCATCCTTGCTGCTGATGATCATCTTGCTCCTTAGCCACGTGTCTCCAGGACTTACATATGTCACGGCTGCTGTGTCTCCATAAAGTCCATCATGTACTGTAGTAAACTCCTCAGAGGCCTCTTCCAAGCGAATCTCCAGGCTTCCCAAGAGCAATCCTGCCGGAGCTCAAATCAACATGTCACCACATTTAAAAGTCTTCCGTTGGGCTTCCCTGGTGGCGCAGTGGTTGAGAGTCCGCCTGCCGATGCAGGGGACACGGGTTTGTGCCCCGGTCCGGGAAGATCCCACATGCCGCGGAGCGGCTGGGCCCGTGAGCCATGGCCGCTGAGCCTGCGCGTCCGGAGCCTGTGCTCCGCAACGGGAGAGGCCACAACAGTGAGAGGCCCGCGTACCGCAAAAACAAAGAAAAGTCTTCCGTGGCTCAGGACACACTGTATGACCAGGCCTGCCCGACCCGGCCCTCCCCTGCCTTTGCAGCAGCAGCTTGTGCCAGAGGCTCCCCTCTCTGCCTCAGCCCTTCTTTCAGTCCCTTGCACTTGTCAGGCTCTCTCATCACAGGGCCTTTGTACATGCTGTTCCCTCTGCTTGGTACTCTTTCCCCTCCCTTCTTCACCTAGTTAACTTCTTGTCATCCTTCAGACCTCAGCACAGGTATCACCGTGCGGGGAAACCTTCCCTGACTAGGTCACCTCCTTCCTGTGACAGATGGTCCTTATTATTACTGGATCTCTCTCTCTTAGCACCTATCACAGTTGACACCTGACCATGGCTTGTGTGGCTATTTGGTTGTCTCTATCCATGCTGTTAGAGTATGTACAAGGGAGGGGACCAGATCTTTGTGTTCACCTTGTATTTCTAGCACCTCCCGGAGGGTCTGAAACAGAGTCAGCACTCAGTATATGGCTGTAATAGCAAAGGGTAACTCCTGAGAGCCACAGCCAAAATCACTGTTTAGCATGTTTTTATAGTCAGAGTCATAGCTGGACACGTGTCACTTGAATTATGGTTGATAGCCTTGCATACATGGCAGTTGTAGGAGGGAAAAGAACCTCTGTTTAGAGCAAAACAACCACAGTTACACAATCTTCAGAATTATCTGAGAAGCTAGAGAACAGATTTGTAAAAACAAAATGATCTATGGAAATGTGTTTTCTAAGCTCTTATTTGGACAATTTAGAATCAGGACTTCAAAAGGGAATATTATTCCTGCCAACAGACAGAAGTTAAATGAGGTTTGGCATGACGCAAAAAAAAGAGCGCCTATGTAATTGGGACACGTACTTGAATAAACATACTTCTAAAGGAAAGTCTGTTTCTTAAGCACCCATCACACGCAGTGCTCTAGCTCAGGGAGTAGGTGTTTGGGGCGTCACAACAGACAAGGGAGAACAGGTTGGGTGTTCCTGCCACAGTCTTTCCACTATCACAGTTGAGGGGTGCTGGACGCTAGAGTGTTAGCTCACCCCGGAAGCCATGCAACAGTGCAGGTTCCAAAGTGTTGTCGATGCTGAAAAAGTTAGATGTAGACAGGAGTCACCGGCCAGGCAGCTTCCTGTCCCTGCAAGAAGCTTGACAAGGGACACAGCAAATGGCTTCTGAGGAAAACTGCCGTATTTCCCCACAAGGCAGGGAGGTGCAGGGTCATTACCAATTTTGAAATCTTCCTGTGCCCTTCAACAACTACCCTCTTTGACCTGCAGAAACTTGAAGACTGTGACAGAAAAGCCATTCACCAAATAGACCAGCTTCAGCGAGAGCAGCGACACCTGAAGAGGCAGCTGGAGCAGCTGGGCATCGAGAGGATACGGACGGACAGCACCGGCTCCACGGTCTCCTCGGAGCGCTCCGACTCTGACAGGGGTGAGCCCCCCCCCCCCCCCCGGAGCCCGCATCCTCAGGCCCCTCCCCAGCCCCCTGCCGCCTGCCAGAGGCGGAGCCGAGGGGAAGCCGAGAACCCCCGTGACTCGGAGAAGTCGAGGGGCGTGGCCCGCGGGGACAGGCGTCCTCTCCTGCAGCGGTTAGGCACCGCGGCCAAGGAGGGGCCCTGACGAGTCACTTGGCCCTTCCGAAGCAGGCCTTCACCACGCTCTGTCTCGTCCTTCCCACAGAAGAGATCGACGTGGACGTCGAAAGCACAGACGATCTCACGGGCGACCTGGACTGGAGCAGCAGCAGCGTGAGCGACTCGGACGAGCGGGGAAGCATGCAGAGCCTGGGCAGTGATGAGGGCTACTCCAGCTCCAGCATCAAGAGAAGAAAGCTCCAGGACGGTCACAAGACGCGTCTTGGACTCTAGGAGAGCGTGGTCGCTTCGGCTGCCGCCCGGATGGTCCCGCCCGTCGGCTCCGATTAGGTAGCGTATCGGACCTGCCCACAATTCCCTCGCACGTCAGCTTCCGTGTTCCACCGTCACCAAAAGCAGCTGTGCAAAAGTTGTCAAGGAAGTGCTTAGGAGTGTGGGTTTCTTTTTTTTTTCTTTTTCTTTTTCTTTTATCCACGATCCCCATCTTGAATGGGGTTGAGCGGGCCCCCGTGCCTGCTGGCGTAGGGTAGGCACACGCTGAGCCAGTCAGTGCAGCCTGGACACCTGAGGGCGTCACAGACCCGTTACTGCTCAGTCTGGGGTAGCCGAATGCCACTCGTCCCTCTAAGAAGTTGGGGGACGCCAACCAGGATTGTGGGTTTCTGACTGCATCCTCTAGCTTCTCTCTTTCTCTCCATAAAAATTCGTCTCTGACAGACTGTACATTCCAATCACTTTGAAGCACCCAAGAATTCTTAGACGGAATAAGCACTTACTCACATCTCGGCAATTTTCCCCTCTTATTTACTGCCCCCGTGTAGTCTACCAGACCTTCCTTGAAGTTTTCTGGCTTCCTCTGTGACTTGCCTAGCGGAAATGTCCGAATGTGTCTTGTGCTTAGGAAACTGAAGGAAACAAACTTTTAAAGTTGAGATCCTGATCACAGAACTCCAAAGTAAGCTTTGAAAGTGGGATTTAAGAGCGCTTAACCATGGCCCTCACCGCCTGTGAGCAGGCAGGAATACCTCCAGAAAACACACCCTTCCCACACGTCCCACGCCAACACCCCCGACCCACGTGTGGATGGCCGCAGTATTTCTCACTCTCAAACGGACCCCTTGCAAGCACATCTTTGGGGTAGCACAGCTTATAAAAGTTCCAACATCGTTTGTTCTCACGAACAGAACGGTACAGTCTGTTTTTGTGCACTGTCCTTGGGACCGTGCTGTGTCCTGCTCTCCCAAGGCACATTTCCCCTCCAAGTCAGTTATGCTCCTTGTCTCTGGAACATTTTTTTTTCCTACCTCAAGAGATAAATGAGATCTCCATTTCCCACTTAACACAAACTGATTATGCCTCTCTTGTTTTGTTTTTGTTTTTTGTTTTTTTCCCCAAATAAGTGACACTTGGTCCAATTCTAATCTATTTTGCTGTTTAACTTGCAGCAATAACTGAGCTTTGGCACTAGCTGAGCTAGCGTCCATCATCAGTGAAAGGAGAAGTCTACACTTCTACTCTCTGTTGCAGGTGAACGGGAGGGGATGGTACAGTGTTACTACAATTCCTCTCCTTATTGATTATTTTTGGACACACCCAGAAACTTCTTTATGGAGGCTTTTGGGTTAATAGTTTAAAAGGCTGATTTTTCTTTTTGGTTATGATTTCTCCCTTAAGTGGTCTCCCACTTTGTAGCATTTTTATTTAAGCTAAAACAGAGCACATGTATATGTACATAAGACACATTAAATCTATAAATACTATTTATTCATTTTATATAAACTAACGTAATGGAAAATAAATTCTTATGACTGTGCTTTTATAGATGTTCTAGAAACTTTGTATGTAGGTATCTACAGAATTGGTTCACTTCCCCTTAATACTTTTGCATTCATAGTTTTGAGGTCTCGATGCTTTCAGCCTCTGGTGAATCTTTTTCATTGAATTCGAACCATTTGTAAAACCTGTGACGCTGAGACAGAGCGTGTGTCACAAAGTGATGAGAATGTTCCTAAATCCACAGCCGCACCGCAACTTCAGGGCTCCCCGGCTGAACCAGTCGCGGCGGCGCCTGTGCCCCCCGCTGGCCTGTGGTCTCCCCGGCCCCAGACTCACCTCCTCAGCGCCTCTTCCTTGCCCACGACTAAAAGTTCAAACGCACTCCTCACAGAAGCTCATTCTGGACATGAAGAACAGTCGAAACAAAGATTACTTTTGTGTTTATTTTTTCTTTTTATTGATTTCTTAATGTATTAAAATTTTTTAATTGGAAGTAGTGATTCCTAAATGATTCCAAAGTCATCTGTAATTCTTCTGTTTTTGTTTTGGTCTGTTTTTCTCTCCATTTCGGGTTTGGGTGGGGGGAGGGGCAGGTGACACAAAGGATTTTTTTTTTTTAATTGTTGGAATCTTTTCCAATTACCAGCTGAAGATTTGCACTGAAATACAACTTGTATGCCTTTTGCATTTTTAAAGCCTGCTTCCTGAATTTAAGCAGAGTGATAGTGTTCAAAGAGCCAGCTCAGCCTGTAACATGTTTGAAAAAGATATACCTGCACTTTGAGGTCCCTTTCGAATGCCATTCGCTAGACCTCGCAAGCATTTTGATTGCTACATTCAAGCGCCTCACAAGTCCACGATGCTAGATCCTGTACGGCATCGAAAACTCAAGACTTTGGCAAAAGCTTGTGGGCTTGCATTGGGGGAGGGAAGGGAACAAAACTTGTGTATTTGTTTGTTTAATTTAGAAATAAGGCATCTGAGAGATGCCATTATTTTCTGTGTTTTAATTGTTGTGCCTTTGAGTTAAACTGCATTTTTGTCTTTTGGTTGAAATATGAAATGTACTGTCCCAATATAAAATAGTAATTATTTGACCTTTGCACTGTTTGTCTGGTCCTTTTCAATTTGATAGCATATAAATGTGGAACTTAATAGATCTCTATATTTTTAATGCGCTTGTGATAAACTGACACCAGGGTTAGACACGACTTTCAAATCTTGAGGTAGACCGAATGCTAGACAGGCCTCTCTCTAACCAAAACTGTAACCTTCAGGACCAGCAAACTCAGCCCCAGGCAGCTAATCCCCTTCCCTACGTGGCTGATCAGCCGCCCTGATGCGCCAATCTGTCGTGTCATTCACTGATCCACCAGCATAACTGTTAAGAGCTATACAGTCTTTTTGGTTCTGTTTTGTTGTTGTTGTTGTTTTGTTTTATTTTGTTTTTTTAAGCAAAACGAAAAACCTTTCTATTAGGGTTGTTGGGGGGAGGGGACGGGCAAAGATGTAAGCCCCAGCCTTTAAGACTTCGACTATTGTACGTAAATATAGATGTGTGTAAATATAGGCACATGCATATTTTTATGTGAAAACCGGTTTTAAGAAACTAAAATCAAGTCTACACTCTTGTTGATACCATTGCAATGCAAATGCGAAAGTAAAGAGTATGTAGTGCAGTTTAATTTCATGCAGTGAGAAAATACATGTGTGCTTCTGTTAACATCCCAGAAAACCTAGCTTTCCATACCTGTTGGCTTAGAATGGCAGGCAGGCACCCAGGGTATATTTGTTTTCTTTTGCTAAGCAGAGATCTGGGATTCAAGGTGCTGATAGCGACCGTGGCTCCTTTCTCTAGTCACAGATCTAATGCTAGAGATTCAGTGTCACCTTTTTGAGCAGGACCTACATTTTTCTTCCTGTCCACCCAAAACGAAAATAATTTCAGTGTCGATTCAGAATTGAGTACTAAGAAGGCCCTGACCCTGCAATCGGCCGCTTGAGTGGTTTGAGGGTTTATTTTTGAAGGTGGGCATTCTCCTTTAACCTCTACTTTTTTCAAAAGAAACAAAGGGCCCTTACCTGGGTTTCCTAGGAGCCTCTCTTCTCAGTCCCTGAAGTGGCCAAAAGCAAATCCTGGGGTGTGTAAACTAGGTAAGATTGTGATGCTCAAAATAACTAACAATATCTTGGGGCTTGATAATGGATTTTGTGGGCTTCTTGCCTCTCCCCCATCCTTTAAAGAAAAAACTTATTTTTGAAAAGTATACACATACACATGATTCAGGTTTTTATATCATACTGTATTGGCAAGGATACCACTTTCATTGTGCTTTATTCCCCCGAATCTCACTCCTTTCTTTCTTCTTGTTTCCCCAAGTTTCTTTGTCTTTCCCCTTTACCAGCCCCACGTGTTGAACACCAGAAAGTCAAAGGCTGCAAGGCGATTTCCTACAAGTCAATCTATTATTTTTCTATGTTTAACTCTTGGATGCAGTATGTTTAGGTTGCTGGCTACTCCTGATTTTAAAAATCCTTCCTGACAGAAGACGACCCAAAGACCCCTTTAGGTGAGGTGGATTTTCTCGTTCTACACTATCAGGTCTCTGTAGACTGTGGGATGTTTTGTTTTCAAAAATACCTGGGGATGAGGCCGGGGCTGGGGGGGTACGATATGTGATTTATCCTGATTTTTTCATTAATATTTATTACATGGATGATTTTCTTACCCTGTGTTCTTCTGAAAGGAGAAATATCTGCCCAGCACCGTTAGAGTCAGCTGTCGAATGGCTGGAGAAGTTGAGTATCTTTGTCTTCTCGCAAAATCGTAAAATGAGAATTAGTAAAGCACTAGATTCAAAGATTTACCCAGATTTTAAATTTTGATTTCTTATTCTGTCTGGGGGGGTGCGGAGGATTGAGAGGGCTTTCTTCATTTTAGCTTTTACCAGAGAACCAAGCTTGCCTTGACCCCTTGTCCTTAGAATTGGTGCTCTGGGAATGTTGCTGTGAACCGTCAGCGTTGGGGGCCATCTTCCTAACGGTGAACACAGCCTAAACAGGGAGCAGCAGACGAGAGAGTATGAAATTCTGTTTCCAGATGTTTATTTCTTTATGTAAATACGATGCCAATGTAAATCCTGTGTCAAGACATAGAGAATGGTGCTTTTTACTACAGTTAGTACGTGCATTTTGAGAACTACTCATGTTTCAGAGAATCTTTGCTGTGTATATGTAAACTTCTGTATCGTTCAACTGTTAACAAATAATAAATTATTTCATTATTAAAGATATTTTGGTCTTCCAGATGTTTTGTATCCCAGTTTAGCCTTCCATGGTTTTTACTTACAGAGCTGAGTTAATCAGGTTTCTTTTTCCTTTTGATTTCATGGAAAATTTGCTGGCCAAAAGTTTTCAGCCCTTGGATTCTGTGATGGGAGCTTTGATTGTGTGGCTCTGGTTGAAGCGCTTCCCAGCTGCTCTCCTCCCGTTTCTCCTGCTCATGCGCTCACTCTGTTAACATCCCAGAAAACCTAGCTTTCCGTAGGCTTCCCTGCGACCCATCTGACCATGCAGGCTGCGTTCGGGGCCGCACAGCAAACGAGAGTGCCCCGTCTTTCCGGCAGCCTGTGGTCTGGTGGGAAAGAGGGAGATGCATTCACAGTTTGATGCAATATAGTCGGTGGTGGAATAAAGTCGTACAGGGACGGGCTGTGAGAAATCACAGAGGTGGTGGCATTCGAGTTGGGCCCTGGAGAAAGTGTGGGTGTTGGATGGAAAGAAGCCTTGCAGGGAAAGAGAACAGCCAGTGCAACGAGGCAGGTGATGGGGAAGGGAGAGCTCCTGGGACTGGGAAGTGGCTGGGAGCCCGTGGTGTGTGATAGCTGGTGTGGAGACACCACACAGGGAAGGACCTCCTGTGTTGCACAAGTTACTGAGAGGAGAAAAGTCACCTGATTTCGGAGATTCATTTTTTTACGTATTAACCCCTTGGTTAATTCACATTTATTCATTCATTTGACAAACAGGGATTGAGTGCCTAGTCTCTCTATCTTAGCGCTGAAGACAAACCAATGAACAAAACACACAAAACCCTGCCCTCTGGAGCTGCCTTTCTAGTGCAACCGACTGGCGTTCAAGTCCTCGGCCAGGCAAGTTTTCTGAGTCAAGAACATCATCCTGAAGCACATTCCCTCAGCCGAGCGCTCGTTCCGAGTTAAGGGGAAGGAAAGAGGTGTCTTTCTCTTTCTTGACCGGTGACTTCTTATCGTAAATACCACCAAAAATTTTTGAAGGGTTTTTATTATGCCCTAGATGTAAACTGTGATGGCCTGGGGGTCTTACGAAAAAAAGGATCCTTCTGGTATTTCTGCTTGGGGAAAGTAGCCTAGCTCTTCTGCTTTCTCCAAAAAGGAGGGACACATCTGGACCCTCCTAGGACATGTGATTCTAGAACCCATCTCTGTGGTCAGGCTCCAATTTGAACCCACCAAAGACTACATTGCCAGCAGCATGGAAGAAAGCTACATTCTGCCCCAGCCTCAGGATCCCCATTTACTGTGGCCGAGGAGAGGAGACTCTGAACCACAGGTAACTACGAAGACAGCTCTCACATAAAGATAGCCTCCCCTACAAGATGACAAATCTTATTTCCAAGGTTTCCTGACTTTGTTGGTTCACAGTAACCTGAAGAAAAGTGCCCTTTGTAATGCTGTTTGGACCCACGTCTTAATCACGGTCAACTCGCTCTGCTCCGTGCCCTGGGGAACTCTCACGGCTCTGGGGTTGAGGCCCTCGTCGTGCCCATGTCACAGGGGAGGAAGCAGAGAGAGAGCTGAGGCATCTTGCCTCAAGTCCACGGAGCCGGTGAGCTCTGACTCCAGAGCCCAACACTCCCTTGCCTCCATTTTTGCAAATTGCAACTGTGTCCGATTCTAATCTATTTTCCATGCAGAGCACCTTTTCTTTTTTAAGGCTTCAAATGCAGCTACCTATTTTCCACGGAGGGGTCCTCGGTTCCTGTTAGTGGGGCAGAAACGCGGAAGGCACAAGACAATTGTGGATTGTCATTGCTAAGTCATTTCCCTCCCACCTCCCACCCACCGCCGGATCCCTACTCCCCTCTGAGCCTGCCCTGACCCAGCCATTCCTGACCCTGACGCAGGCCCTGTGGCAGCAACCCAGGCTGCTCCTGGGGGAGCACGACCTGTAGAGGAGTTGAAGGCGATCTTCCACTACCACGTTTTTTGGGCTGAAGACCCCGTGACATCACTCTATTGATTCAACCAGTATTTATTAAATACAGCTCCTACTTAGCCTCCAAGTCCCTGTCATCGAGTGCCCCTTTGTCCACCGCTGAGGTGTCACTGTGACCTAGACAAGGAGGGACACACCGAGGCTCCCTGCCCAGAGACTCTGGAATAGCAGCCCCTGTTCCCATTGCCCACTAGGTCTTCTTTCCCATCAGTTTGGGACACTCAGCTTCCAGGGGTCAAGGGCCCCATGGGAAGCAGGGCTTGGCACTGGCCGGGTGTCAAATCAGCTCTGCTCCCCCTCTGTCCCATGTGGGACCCAGATAAGGTGGGTGGGGCCGCTGATCAGGAGTGAATAGGTTGCCCAGAGTCAAAGGAAGCTGCAGGTTGGGAGAGAGAGGGGGAGCCCCTTTCAGGCAGACAGGAGGGCAGGCTCCGCCTGGCTGGAGCTTCTGGGAGCCTCCCTCCTTGGGAGTGAAGGCAGTGTCTCTGGTGAAGACAGGCTCTGGATTTAGTGGGCAGCTGAGGCAAGAGCCAGCACGGGAGCAAAGGGTATGGCCCCAGAGTCACGACAGAGCTGGTAGCCGAGGGTCTCGGGGGCTGGAGAGCTTCACTGAGGCTCTGGAGGAGGAGGGGGCGCCTTTTATAGGATGCCCTTGGCCTCACCCGGGGGCAGAGATGAACGAGGACAGTCAAGGCAGGGAGCTCTGTGTCGGGGATCTGTCTATCTTCAGGGAAACCGTGACCCGGGAGAGAAGACACCTGGAGGGCCGAGGGGACAGAGAAAAGCGAGAAACACACCGGCCCAGCCAACCCTGTTGGCCACCCAGATGCCAGGCTGGGTCACACCTGGAGGCAGTCCCCAGCCCTGCACAGGGACCAGTGGGATAAGAGACCCAACATCCATCTGCTGGAAAGTTCATTTAGTTACAAGCAGAGCGTCTGACCGACTCCTGCCCGGCCTTGCTGATATTCACATCGCACGGAAGGTAGGAGATGATGTTTTCATGAAGCGCTGGAGCTAATTCTGATCAACAAAGACGAGTGGGCTGGCCAAGTGGAGGAAGGAGAGATCCTTAGGGGGAGCACTGTGTCCCTAGGGTGAATGTCAAGCACACACACTCTGGTGGGATGGATCTGCAGGCCAAAGCCAACTCCAGCCTTTCCTCTCTGGGTGACCTGGGGCAAGTGTCGTGGGCTGTATTTACTTCCTGGGTCTCTTTGGGAGAATTAAAGGAGATGAAGTATGGAAAGCCCAGTGCCTGATGGTCAGGAAGCATTTAATGCCTATGAGCAATTATGGTTATTTCACTAGCAAGGAGAGAAGCTGGAGGAGTGCTGGGAACGTAACTTAAATTTTCAGGAAACAAAATTCTGACTTCAGAAAGAAATCAGCCTGGAAGGGAAAATTACATGAGAGGGTAAGGAAGTATGTCATTCTGACTGTGCTATTTAGACAACACATTGTGGGCAGGAAGTGGTTAAACTGAAAGGAGGAGCAGAGAAAGGATGACTCAGGGACTGAAGGTGACAGGGTGGAGGAGGGGCCATTTTCCAGGTGGTCCCTCGCCTTGCTGCTACTCAGAAGGGCAAAGCTAGCCCTAAGCCCCTCAGCCCTGCAGGGTAGCTCTCAAAGAGAAAGCAGGCAGTGCAGGGGTGGCTCTGAGAGAGGGCCTTGCTAAAATGCCTACATCTTCAAGGAACTCATCAAAAGAGTGCAGGATGGGCTTCCCTGGTGGTGCAGTGGTTGAGAGTCCGCCTGCCGATGCAGGGGACACGGGTTCGTGCCCCGGTCCGGGAAGATCCCACATGCTGCGGAGCGGCTGGGCCTGTGAGCCATGGCTGCTGAGCCCGCGCGTCCGGAGCCTGTGCTCCGCAACGGGAGAGGCCACAACAGTGAGAGGCCCGCGTACCAAAAAATAAAAAATAAAAAATAAAATAGAGTGCAGGATCCTCAAGTCCCAGCATTTGCATGTATCTTTCTAACAGCCAATTCAGACCAAAGGTAGCTAGCACTCTAGCCAGACAATCAAGGAAGACGCCACACTTCAAGTGTGAACTCTGAGCAACTACAGGGATGGTGACATTCTCTGCAACTTTGGAGTTCAAAGCTTGGGTCAAAGTAGTTGCCGGTCAGGTGCAGACTAGCACAGGGCATGGAACAGCATGGGACCTGGAAGAGGCATCAATGGAAACAGATGATCAGGGCAGGACCTGGGTGACACTGCTCTCTCTTCACCATACTTAGATCCTTTAATGTTGGGCAAAACAAACTTTCAGAACTCAGTGCAAGAATCTCATTGCTTTCCCTGAAGGAAGGGTGTGTGTTTCCTCAGGGAAATGGTGAATCATGAAACTGATCATTTTTCTCTTCTTGCTCTGGCTGCCAGGAAGCTCAGAGCCAAAGGCACACCTCACTTTAGAAATTATGTGAGACCCTGTGATTTGTAGATTGGTGTCCTAAATTCCCCCTAGTCTTTTCTCTGACCTTGATTTTTATTTTAAAAATTTCCTGGGCTTCCCTGGTGGCGCAGTGGTTGAGAGTCTGCCTGCCGATGCAGGGGACACAGGTTCGTGCCCTGGTCCAGGAAGATCCCACATGCCGCGGAGCGGCTGGGCGCATGAGCCATGGCCGCTAAGCCTGCGCATCCGGAGCCTGTGCTCCGCAGCGGGAGAGGCCACAACAGTAAGAGGCTGTGTACGGCAAAAAAAAAAAAAAAAAAAAGAGCACTGCCTGTGTATAATGAAAAACGTTCCGGTCTTTTCTTTTGCAAGCAGGGGGAAGTGAGGTTGACTAAGCAAGGGTGAGGTTATGAGGGTCAAGAGTGAAGAGAGGGAAGGTGAGTGTGTTTTCCTCTAAGTAGCGGAAATAAACTTGCCGAAGTATAGAAGGGAGTTGCCTCAGGGCAGAAGGTAACCCGCACCTTGTCTAGAGGAACTGGAGCTCCTCTGGGGGTTTCCACAGAGGCAGCGGCAGAGTCGACGTGGGTCTGAGTCACCTGTCAGAAGCAGAAGGAACACCGCCCTTTCTTCCCAACTCA